CCCTTGTAGGCTATGATCATGGCTTGTTCGGCTGCTACATAGAAGGACACGCCTACCGCTGACAGCGCCGGGAACAGAACCCGGCGCTGCCAACTCAGCGTCCTCGCCTCGTTCGCAACCGACTGAGCGATGCAGCCCGATGCGGGGGCGAGTCCGGACGGCGAAAGACATTCCAGCCTTTGTCTCGCTGGCCCGACGCCGCCGGGCACGCCGCTTGCCCTCCCCCTCCTCTTCCTCCGGGGAGGGAGGTAGGGGCGGCCCCCCAAAAAAGGCAACATCTAGCCACCACAAAGGCAACAATTGTCACCTTACACTCAAAAGGTAACATTTCCTGCCTTTAGGGGCAAGAAACATCGTTTTTGCCTTCGCATGGTAGGAAACGCGATTTGTTGCCTTTTCAAAAGGGTACAAACCCCCGATGTTCCTTTTTCGATTTACAGTGCGGAGGCACGGAGAAACGGAGGCTGCGGCTGCGTTTCTCTCAGGACTTGTTCTCTGCGTGCCTGCCGCTCTCTCCCTCCCTCTCTCTCTTTCTCTCCCTGTTTCCCGCCATCAAAGCAGTTGTGCGCCTATCCCCTCTCGCTTCCTCCCCCTCTCACTCATTCTCTCTCTCCCTCTCCGTCCCTTTGCTACCGCTCGCTCTCTCACTTTGCTCCCTCCATCTCGGCTGACGGGATGTATTGATTTTACGCTTCCCAAGGCCAGCGGCCCGGCGGGCCCGGCTCCAGGGCAGCAGCCCGCCCCGCGGCCGGAACGAAAAACAACAGGCGGACAGGACAGGCTCAAGCCCCCACGGCGCGTCACGCTCGCGGGGGCAAATCACAATCGTGAACGCACGGAACCAGCCCAGCTACAGGAGCGAGTTCTCGCAATGGAGAACAACATTCCCGCGTCATCAGCTAATGAACTTGTGGATGCAAGCAGTGTAGTAGTACATTGCACCGTGCCAATACACTTATCAAAGCGTGCGGTGAATTTCACCGTAAGATGTACAATGGGCCGTGCCCCCTAATTGTTCATCGTTGCTCACAGTCCTGGAGGATGCACTATTAATGGCGGCAAAATTCGCTGTAAACAACGTACAATATGTACGCGAATTCGCAGTTATAACAGTTTCTTAATAATAACACAAGGAATGGCTTTTCTGGCTGAAAGATTCTGTTCTGTGGCGTTTGTCGTTTCACTTTGTCCAAGTATAACATTATCTTTTCTCCCCCATGGGCATAGCTCCGTGAGTACCTCAGTGTACCCCCACCCCCCCATTTCCCCCAGCCCCCCGGGGCGAGCCCCGCAGCCCTCCTTTCTGCTCTCACGTCGCAATGTCGCCAGCACCTATCCACCCTCCCTTCCGCTTCCTTAGGCCCAGTCGGCCACCGCCTGCTTGTGCGGCGCGCTGCACTTGCGACGCCACTGGCACAAGGCGCAGCACGCAGGGAGGGCGGGCGGGGGCGCAGGGGCGCAGGCTGGCCACCCTCTGCCGGGGATGCAGTGCAGCAGTGTGAGCCTTCCCTCCCGACCACGTGCTTTCATTGATCCTCCCCCGCACTCCTATGCCGCGCCCTCCCCTCCGTACCCTCAATGGGACGAAAAACGCTCAGTCTGCTTTGCGGGAATGAGGGGGTCGACGGGAGCGGGTTTGGCCCGCGTGACTAGTATGGGGAAGTGGTTGACTCAGCACCGCCGCCGGTATGCGCCATCGAGCTGGGCCCCGCCGGGTGCACATTTGCACCCTCTGGTGCAAGGAGCTGGCGGGCCTTCGGGGCGGGCGCGACTGAGAGGGCGTGGACCGCCGAGGAGACGGGCCGCACGGTGGCCATGGGGGGTCGCCGTCGTGTTGACAGTTCGGCGAGGGGCCGAACGACACGCGGCGCGTTGCCCTACGGGGAGGCCCTGCCCGCCCCCCTGTCTGGCGGGGCGTGGATGTGTTTGTGGACGGCGACCGCCACTCCGGGTCAACAGCCGCAGCCCGTCCCCGCCCCCCTTAGCCCGGTCCTCACCTCCTGGAAGGCACCCGTTCTTGCTGCTCGGCTCCGGACGACGCTGTGCTCAGAGGAACGGGCCCGCCGCAGGGGGCGGTGCCGCGGTGCGCGGGGCGGTGCTGGCCCCGGAGCTGATGCAACGGACGCCCCGGTTGCGTTCCGGGCGGCTGCGCTGCGGCGGCACGAGAAGCTGCTGAGCGTGCTGGTGCGCTCGACGGCGTCGTCGGCTCGGGGCGAGCACCCCGTCGAAGCTCGCTGCTATAGCGGTGGCGGCGGCAACGGCGGTGTTGGGGGTGGCCCAGGTGCGGAGGAGTGGCGGAGCGGAGGAGAGCGCGTGCTCGGCGAGGAGGCGACGGAGACCCGGCGCGCACCACCAGCGGACTGACCCCCGCCAACATCAACCCCCTCCCCTCCGCGCCCTCGCCGGCTGGCTCCCCACCACGAACGCGCCAGCTTCGCCTCCCCTGCCGCGCCGCGCTCTCTCCCTTTCATTGCCCTTTCCACTTCCTCCCCTCACCCCCACTCTCTCTCTCTCCCTCTTACTCACTTTCCTCTGCTGCCTTTCTCTTCCCATCGCTCCCCTTCTCTTCTCCGTACTCTCGTGGCGTACACCTCCGTGTGAGGATTTGCCCCCACCCCTGCCCTCTCCGGGTCTCCGCCTCGGCTGCTCTCCGGCCGGACCAGCGACCAGAGGGAGATGGAGAGGAAGAGGACGATGGAGAAGGGGACCGACAATAACAAAGCCTTTCCTGCGTAATTTACGTGGAACCCTATCTGCGCCTTGGCCGTTCCATAGCTTGTCTTTCTTTTTCATCATCCAACACGCGCTGATGATATTGTAGCCGTGTGCCTCCGTGTTCTGTCTAGCTGGGGATAATTCGGTCGACTAAATCACCAGTGTGAGTGTAAGCACTGGAGACCGGTGTAGCCCTGGGATTATCCGACCACCATTACTCACGGGATTTGTCACCGTCGCCATCACCGTCCTCATCATCATGACAAGTGCGGCGGGAGCTTCGCCTCTGGACGCGGCGCGGTGGGGGGCGGCGGCGAGAGGGTGGGGAGGGCGCCGCGGCGGCGGGCGCGTGTCGCTACCCCGCGCGGAGGGGTGCGCCGCGCTTGCCCGCGCCGCCGCCAGGTGCCGCTGCCGGGCCGCGGGGGCGGTGGCGCCAGTGGCTGGGGGCGCGCGCCGCCCTGGCGCCGCCGCCCCTGCTCGCGGGGGGGCGCTGCTGGGCGCTGCCGGGGCGCCGCGCGCGCCGCGCTGGCCGCGCCTCCCGCCGCCCTGGCCTGGCGCTGCCTCTGCGCCGCCGCAGCCCAGTCTCCGAGCTATTTTTTGCGTGGCCGCGCGCAGCCGAGCCGAGCCGAGCGGTTAGTCCTGGCGGAGTCCGCTGTGCCGCGCGACATGGGCAGCTGACCGCGCGCGCCGCGCCCAGCCCGACGCGAGTGTGTTACCGACCCGACCAGCAAAACAAGAAACTTAGAAAACGGGAAAAAAAATCGTCGTGGGAAACGGACGGCAACACCTCTCCTTTCCGAGAAGAAGATTTGAAGAAAATAAATTGAAACGACGCCGCAGTTGTCTGCGACGAATAGACGACGGCCTCCCATCACCCGCGGGATGATCACCAGCAGCAGCAGGGTGGCCAGGCGGAGCCAGGCGTAGCGCAGCTGGGCGCGGCGGGCGCAGCTGGGCGCTGTGATGCGGGGCCGAGTGATGCGTGCTAAGCGGTAGCATGCAGGCGGAAGCGTCCCCGGCCTCCCAGGGTGCAACGGGCACCGCCACCGCCTCCAAGGGCGCCAGCGCCGTCAACGGGGGGCGCTTCGACTTCGACGATGGCGGCACCTACTGCGGAGGATGGGAGGACGGCAAGGCCCACGGGCACGGCGTGTGCACCGGGCCCAAGGGGCAGGGCGCCTACTCGGGCTCCTGGCACTACGGCTTCGAGGTCTCGGGCGTGTACACCTGGCCCAGGTAAGACCCCGGGCGAGCGCCGCGACGAGCGGGCCGACTAACCTCGGCGCGTAAACACTGGGGGACATAACCTCAATCTGGCGCCCGAGAGACGGGGCGGGCGGAACCTTACGGGGTGAAAACAGTGTGCAACCTTACTCAGGAAACATTCCTACCGTAGGGAAACGACCATCCAACTCACTGTGAACCTACCCCCGCCATTCTTTTGTTTTTGTGAGATTTCGAAAAGAAACAAAATGTGATAGTTGCAGATGAGTTATTCGCAGCGGTCTGGTGCTCATCCGCCCACTTTTGAGTACCGCTGCTCTACTGAAGAGTTGGCGAGGAAAGAATAGAGCTCAGCGGAATTCTGTTTCTTTGTTTTCGGGTTTCTCTAGTTACGTTCTGACTTTGTAAACAAAGTCTTGGTAAACAAAAAGATACAAATCATGGTCCGGGGTTTCACCGATTTAAATCAATCGTGATTTTGACTATTACTCTATTAAAACGACCAGTTCTCCGACTGGAATCTTTTAAATTCTAACTCCAACGTACATTTTTGTGCACATTTTTAAAGGGAGAAACTTATTCCTGGCAGTTTTTGAAGTAATTTGACCCAGGTTGTATTTGAGTCCAGAGCTACTCCTTGATTTGATCGTAAGGTACCTCGTTTCTCTCGGCACTTCGTGCGCATACTGCACCAAGTCGGTCATCTTTACCCTCAGCCAAGCAATCACTTAAGAAATCTCTTAGCGAACGAAACAAATATGCAGATTATGTTTTCCATGATCGTCCGGGTGTCGATTATTTTTGTAGTCCATATGACATGTACCCCCGTTTCTGTGTTGTTGTAGTTAACATTGGGGAGGGAAAAGGGGGGGGGGAGGTGCTGCATGTAGGAGGGGTAACAAGAGGAAAGACCCCTGGCCCACGACACGACACACGCGGCCGCCGCAGGGCCAGAACGGAACAGCCATCCGCTCCGCCCCGAGCGCCTGGCTAGGTAGGCAATTTCGCTGACGCTGGACACCCGTGCGCCGCGGGCTGGCCTACCCTGCAGGCGGCCCCATCTGGAGAAAAGGCCATATCATGTCAGCGTGTGTGAAAAACGATGAAAACTCTGTACTTCAAAGGGAAACAAATGTGGCAACGTTTGTGCTGACTCGTGGCTTTGGTAAATTTTGCCTTTTTATTGTCACCTCAAAAGCGTCACCACGAAATTTGTCAGCCCTGAGGGGTGACGTTCTCGTCACCGTGTCGTCACCAGGCGTGAGCGGGGTGGGAATTAACACATCACCGTCCTTCGGCTTTGAGAGTGATTATGGAAATTAAATCATCATCTTTGCATTGGTGACACATTTTGAGTTACTGGTTTTGACAGTAAATATTTGTTTCCAAAATCAATGTGTCACTCATCGCACTTCGCATTACAGTGAATTATTGGAACAGTGTGTGGGAGTGGTTTTAAAATGGCAATATGAGAGTGGTGCAGCACACGATGATGGCGTGTCACTGCGATGCTATCGACGCGCGTGGTGAGCGGAGTGCACTTCGTCCACCACAAACTACGCTGTTTCCTGATTATAATCTGTTCGATGTCGCCGCCCGCTAACATCCCACTTATCGGACACACGGGTGGCGTTTCCCCCTAAATGAGCGAGATGATAATCTAGGATCATCCGAAAGTGAGTCGAGCCATGAGTTTTACCAGCCTTTCGCGTGATACCTTGCCTGTCCATTTAGTATTTGCCTATATGTTGGGAATAATAAAAACAAAAATATTCTCGGTAAAGTAGAAAATTGTTGGCAACATGCTCATGGGGAAAGGCAAGTTTGTCGTCAAGTAGGATGTGCTACTAAGACGTCACCTTTCTTGGGACAACATTTAAGTCCCACCCATTAAGAGTGTACTGCAGCTGCGTGCCCTAGAACTGTAACCGCGCTTCCTGCACAGGCTCTCAGCAAAACGAAGACTGCTGAAGCAGTGCTGATGTCTCTTAACCAGAGTCTCAATCGTTCTTTAAAAGTCTCATCTTCCTGCCATTTCGAACCTGGACTGAAAGACGCGTGCACTATCGTAGTATAATAGAAAATTGAGTAAATTTCCAAGAGATTGGTGCACGAGTGCTGTCGAGCACCGCTGGCCTGCGGCAGAGCCAGCGGTGGTACCAGGGGGTACCTGCCGGAGCGGTACCGGCCCAGCCGACCCGCCCAGCCGACTGCGAGCCGCTCGCGGGGAAGTCTGTCAACGTGGCGGGCCAGCGACCGAAATAGAGAGATGGGAGAAGGTGCCAAGTATGCAGCGGCGGGCCCATGAGGCCTTTTCCTCTCGCGCTCACGCCGCTCTCTATCTGTCTCTCTCTCTCGCTCTCTCACTTTTTACCCTTTCTCTCTTCTCCTTCTCTCTGCCTTGCTCTCTCTCTCTCTCCCCTGCGCGCCAGCTCCTCTCCACTTGCGCCCTCCTCGCATGCCCCCCCCCCCCCCCCCCCCCCCCCCCCCCCCCCCCCCCCCCCCCCCCCCCCCCCCCTCCGCGCCTCGCCCTAGCAGACCATCGAGCGGTGCGGTGTGGTGGGTGGGAGTGCGGCCCGCCTTGCCTCAGAAATCTAGACACATGTCTGCGAATCTCAAGCCTCAAGCGCTAGCCCCCGCCGCACCAGCCCGCCGCACTATCCCGCCCCACGCCTCCACGCCCGCCGCGCTGCACCGGCCTAACTGACGCACTGCAGCCAGCCGCATCGGCGAGCCAGCCGCCATGTTTCCAGTCACAACAACGCAGACTCGCCCCCCCCCCCTCCTCCCTCCTCCCTCACGGCCTGCCGACGATCGCGATATGATGATGGCACCGTGGCACGTGCCGCTCAACCAGCCACAGCCATACTGCAACAGGAGAAATGGCTCACCTGGCTTCTCCGTCACACAACGGCCGGAAATACCGTTGCAAATTTAAACGAAAATATTTTTAAAATTTACAATTGAATTTAAACGCGGCAGTGAATTTACAGAGTAACTTGTATAAATTTACAAACTCGGTAGCAAACGACTTTGTGATTGGTTTCTTCATGATTTTTAAATTTAAATTAGAACTATCGGTTTACGTTTGAGTTCGAGACGTTTCAACATTTACGTATCAGTAAAAACGTCCCGTAACATTTCTCATAGTGTCGTTCCAGTGTTGTTGTTGGTTGAATTTTTCATATGGGTGTAGATGGGGCGTGTTATTATTATTAAGGTGATTGTGCCTATAGAGTGGCCTCAGCGATCAGAGGTGCTTAATATCGACTGGCGCTTGAATGGGGGCGGGGCGTTGCGCGGCATGGTGGGGCGCGCGGTGGGGCTTGGTGGGGCGCCTCGGATGTGACACTGAGACGACGCTCTAGTCGGACGGGCCAGCATGTTTATGACCAGCACGGCGAGGCTCCCCGCGTCGCTCCGCGCCACGCCACGCCGGCCGCGGCCTGCAGCTGCGCCTGGAGAGGGAGACAAGACTCGTGCAAGCGTGATCGATGGCCCCGAGCGTGGCGGGGCTGGGCGGGGTGGGGCGTGGCGGGGCTCGACCCGCGCGAACAAATGGCCGGGCCGAGGGGCAGTCGAGTTTGTTTTGTGGTCCT